TAAGTACACTCAATTTATTTAAAACGAACTATACTGGTTTCTGTTCAGTAAGTACACTCAATTTATTTAAGAGTAAAAAAAAAAAAACCCTGCATTACATGTTTGGTTATGGTTTTACTTTCTTCAGCACAGCATGAACTCAAACTGGGCAGAACCATACAGGGAATCACCTCTGGCACACAGAGGCAGGATGAAAGCAGTATGGAAAGCCAAGGAGACCCCCAAATCTAGGTTTCAAGGGCACCAGCACTGTTCTAGCAGCCAATCTCAGCAGTCTGCAGAGCTTCAGGGCTGTTGTGTTTAATCTAGCTTTGCTTCAATACCATCATATCACAGATGACATCAAAGTTACTTAAGAGCCTAAGTTCTGGCGTCTCACCGATCTGAGTTCTCACCACAATTTACTGCCACTTACCAGCTTTGCCTCCTTAGCTAAGTTCTTCAGCCCCTGGTTTCCCAGTGTTGATGATGGGATTAATGATACCTATACCTCACTGGGCTGTTTTAATGACATCATGCATAGAAAACATTTGATAGAGTGCTGGACACATAGTGTCCATTATTATTAGTAAGTGGTTCACTAGTTTTTCTTTTTCCATTTTAGGTAATACATACTCCAAAAAAGTTGGAAAATTACAAAAAATTATAAAAAAAATTTTACCCAACAACTCCTGTAACTTCCAGGGCTATTAACCTCAAATTTTAAAATTCCCCAGCAAATTGTTTTTGCTAGGTCCAAATTGCTTTCTAAAAGGTCTACCAAACTTCCAAGAACCAAATATGAATGCACTCATTTCTATACATTCAAAAAAGGGCTCATCTTTAATTTGTAGGTAGTTATGCTGAGAAACACTGAAGAACTAAAGATGATTTCCAACCTCAAAATGATCACTAGGACTACAGAACAGACCCTGGAAGACTCTCACTTGTCCTCCTGTCTTCAAGGGACTACCTGGGGAGTATCTGTGCCTACAGAGATACAAGGAGCAGCCACGGAGCTGGGTGGGCTTTGCTGGGATTTCTCCTCTGCCCAGTCACACTGGAAATCATCCTAGTTAAGCCTCAACAAGTTTAACAAGTGTTTCCTAACTGCCAGGTAGGTCTTCAATTATGCAAAATGTGAGGCCTTTGGGATAACCTTCCACAAACTTCTTAAATATAACTTCTTGATTTTCTCCCAAAGACTCCTCTCTGCCTTTAGGTTTTCAAGCCTCAAACCAGGTGGAGCTTTCAACTCAGTATGCACAAAATTGGTAGCTTCATGCAAACCTGAGAATGTATACATAAATAAGCATAGGAATGTGTATACATGTAGGTATTACATGAAACATACCATGTAAATATAAAAGAAATATGGTATATATAATTGTGAACCCAGTAAATCTCGTAATTTCCATGCAAAAGTTAGATCTGTATGTGATCTTGTGTATCATCTCTAATCCAACCCTTTTTTAGTTAGAAGAGAAAATAAGGCCCAAAGAATGTAAATATCCAGGGGCACCTGGGTGGCTCAGTCTGTTGAGTGTCTGCCTTTGGCTCGGAGTCCTGATCCCAGGGTTCTGGGATTGAGCCCCACGTTGGGCTCCCTGCTCAGTGGGGAGACTGCTTCTCCCTCTCACCCCTGCTAGTGCGCTCTCTCTCTCAAATAAATAAATAAAATCTTTTCTTTTTTAAGATTTTATTTATTCTGATAGCAAGAGAGGGAGCACAAACAGGGGGAGTGGCAAAGGGAGAGGGAGAAACAGACTTCCTGCTGAGCCAGGAGCCCGATATGGGGCGCAATCCCAGGACCCTGGGATCATGACCTGAGCCAAAGGCAGACACTTAACGACTGAGCCACCCAGGCGCCCCTAATAAATAAAATCTTTGGGAAAAAATGTAAATATCCAGCTCCCAGAGCTAGTTCCCAACACTCAGATTCTGACCTCAGATCTATTTCTCAAAAATGTCTGTTTCAGTGCACTGCATTCCTTCTCTACCTAAATTTGAATAAATGCATGGTGATGGAGCAATATCCCCATGGAATCTGGTTGTACTAAAACAGGCACTAGCATTGCTTTCAAGACAAACCACCTTTTATTTGCATTTCGTTTCAACGTATACAGAAGCCTCATGGTAATATCTGCTGTTGCCATTCCTTTTTCAAAGAAGAAACCGTGGTTCAAATAAATTAATTTGTCTCGAGGCTTTGGGGACAGACAGGATCTTCATTTCCTACATGGGTGATTTTAGTCAAGATACCCAATTCTCTGTATCTCAGTTTGGAGATTAATAATATGGAATAGCACCTAAATTCCCAGGGTTGAGGTAAGAATCATTCTTAGCGCAATACCTGGTACATAGCAAACTCCCAATAATAAAAGGTGATGTTATTACTATTTTACAAATCACTGTCATTAATAATGGTATATGCCTGGCAAACATAGGACTAGAACTCAATCTGCCTTCACTCTCTTGGTCCTCTTGACAACAAAATTTAGGGTATTTGAAGATAACCCGGGGTGAGGAAGAGCCAGGGATGTACCTGAATAGCCGAGTGCAGCCCTACAAGGTACGCGTCGCCCTGAGCTCAAGGTCACTCGGTGAATCAATATTCCAAGCGAACTTTTCGTCCGTCACCGGGGACGCAGGAAGGGAGGTCCAAGAGGCAGAGCTGCTCCGGCCGCCGCCTGAGACCAAGCAAAGGAGCACCCTCCTCTCCCCAAGGACGTAGAGGGCCGGGTCAATGCCACCGATTCCGCGGACCCAGCTCAAGGCCTCTCTAAGCTCCGCGGACTTGAGAACGGCGGCCGCAAAAAGCGGCCTCGGCACCGCGGGCGCCGCGAGAACCTAAGCTAGCTGACCTGGCGGAACTCCGCCACCCTCGCCTGAGACCTTCCGGTGACATGACGTCACAGCAGCGCGAGCCATCCCCACATTTTATTGGTCGGTGCCTCCGACAGCCGGAGTCGGGAACACAGTACAAAGCTGCGAGCCGCCACAGACAGAGTCTCCGCCCCCTAAGCTCCGCCATCTCCATGGTGACCGCTACCCGGTCACCCATTTGGCCTCCGAGGCCGGAGTTGCGTCATTGCCTATGCGCCGGAAGCGATAGCCCCCGAGCCGGTGCAGGCTGACGACAGCCGGCTGGCACTAGTGCCCGCGAAGTTAGACTGTCCCCGGGCTGTGTCGGTTTGGCGGGGGCGCCAAACCTCTGCTGGCCCCTGGGGCAATGGCGGTGTTTCACGACGAGGTGGAGATCGAGGACTTCCAATATGACGAAGACTCGGAGGCATATTTCTACCCCTGCCCGTGTGGGGATAACTTCTGCATTACCAAGGTAACTTCAGAGTCCCGCCCGGCCATTCGTCGGAGCAGGCGCGTTTTTGCTCTTCCCTGTTCCTTCCGCCATTCCGTCACCTTGCGGCTCCACGCCCTCTTTATCCTGTCTCTGAGTCCCCATAAAGTTGATTCTTTGATCTGTCAGTGGGCATATCGTCCTGGCCTTTAGTCCGGCCGAGGGGTGGAGAGTCGGGGTGGGAAAGGTTGGATGGCGGAAGCTTAAGTCTTGCCATTCTTCCCCACTTAGGGTCCCACTTCCTTTCCTGGGATAGTTTTTTGGAGGCAGGGACACGTTGTTGTCTTCTCAGGGGTTTTGAGGCGATGAACCTTGGCTAACCTTCCCGTGTCTGGTCTGGTCTGGTCTTAAGAGAGAGAGTAGGGGTGGGGGTGGGGGGTGCGGCAGAGGAGCAGAGGGAGGATAGAGAGAATCTTAAGCAGGCTCCAGGCCCAGCACGGAACTGGGGTGGGGCTCGATCTCAGGATCCCGAGATCATGACCTGAGCTGAAATTAAGAGTTGGATCTTAACCGACTGAGCCACCAACGCGCCCCTCTTCCTGGGTATTTTTAAGTACCGCTTGGCAGGAAAAATGGAGTTGGTATTTCTCTGGGCAGGCCTTTTTGGCCCTCGCATACCTTGTAGGGACGTGAGCTACAAAGGAGCTTGCCCATAGAGGTAGAAAGAGTTTGGAAGGAGGAGATCGCAAAGGGAAGACAATAAAACGGCTTTTGATTTTGTTGTAGGAAGATTTGGAGAATGGGGAAGACGTGGCAACGTGTCCTAGCTGCTCTCTCGTTATAAAAGTGATTTATGACAAGGTAAGTAGTTGAATTTTAAAAGGTGTGGGGGAGGGTTGCAAGGCAAGGACCTAGAGCAATCTGTAAGTGCTGGAGAACGTTTCTTAGTAGTATGTTAGGTGAGGGCGCCTGGGTGGCTCAGTTGGTTAAGCGTCTGCCTTCGGCTCAGGTCATGATCCTGGAGTCCCGGGATCTAGTCCCGCATCGGGGCTCCCTGCTCGGCAGGGAGTCTGCTTCTCCCTCTGACCCTCTCCCCTCTCATGTGCTCTCTTCCTCATTCTCTCTCTCAAATAAATAAATAAAATCTTTAAAAAAAAAAATAGTGTGTTAGGTGAGTGCTATGTATTTTTTTAAACAAATTTTATTCCCCCACTCCTAAAACAAATATGTAAAACTATTAATAAACAGCTGTATTGTAAATTGCAACTTTAAAAATCAAATTAACTCATTTTAGCTGTCGAGAAGGCAAAAAAGAAAACTGCACTGTAATTAATGGAAATTATTGATTACTTATTAAATAGAAAAATAATTATAAAGGTTATTTAATTGGCAGTCTGTATTCCTCCTTTATTTAATAAGTGATTAAAATTGTTCAGAGCTCCTAGACTTATTTTGGAGGGAACAGTTGTATAGTATCTCTTACTTGGCTTCTACAGATAGAACTCTGCATTATCTTGTTTTGAGATATGTCATAGCTGCTATTTTACAATTTCATTTTGGTCTTTAATTTTCTTACTGTTTTTCACTCAAGGATATTGACAATAGAAAACAAATGTTCTTATTGCCCACCTCTACCCCAACTTTTGGTCAGTACTTTGAATGGAGTCTTAAAAGTAAGAAGCTTAACAGTATTTTTTCCTTTTTTTTTTTTTAAGATTTTATTTATTTATTTGATAGAGAGAGACACAGAGAGAGAGGGAACACAAGCGGGGGAGTGGGAGAGGGAGAAGCAGACTCCGCATGGAGCAGGGAACCCGACGCGGGGCTCGATCCCAGGACCCCGGGACCATGACCTGAGCCGAAGGCAGACGCTCAACGACTGAGCCACCCAGGCGCCCGCCTTTTTTTTTTTTTGAGATATGATTGACATATAACAGAGCTTAACATTCTTAAGGATGAACTCTAAAATGAGTATAGGGCAGGTAGCACCAGGCAGTTAGTCTCATGGGAGAAGCATGCTATAATTTAGAAGTTTACAGATTTATTCTTATATCAAAATGTGTTCTGGAACAAAAAGAGAACAGGGTAAGGGAGATTAGGAGTGCTGGTATGAGAAGAGGTTGCAATTTTAAATAGGGTGATCAGGGTAGGCCTTACTGAGAAAGGCCCTATTGAGCAAAGATTGCAAGAGGTGAGGGAGTGAGCCTTAGGGGATAAAAAGCAGTCCAGCAAAAGGAACTTTCAGTGGACAGACCCTAAGGCAGGAACGTGTCTGTTTTTATTGAGGAACAGCAAGTGTGACCAGAGCAGAGTGGATGAAGGTGAGGGAGTAGCCCAGGAGGAAAGTAGTGGAGTGGGGCAGATCACAGAGGTGTTTGTGGGTCACTTTAAAGACTTTGGCTTTTGCTGTGAATGACTTAGGGAACCATTGAAGGATTCTCAAGCAAAGGAGAGCTACAATCCAACTTAAGTTATAACAGAGTGACTCGGGCTGCTGTGTTCAGAGTAGACTCTGAGGAAGCAAGGGCAGGAATAAAGCAAGGGTAACAGGAGGAGGCCCTTAGACGAGCCAGAGGAGGAGATGGATGGCTGCGACCAAGCTGCGGCACTGGAGGTAGTGAGAAGTGGTTGGATTCTGGATGCACTTTAAAGGATAAGGATTGTTTTTACTGATTGAATATAGGATATGAGAGGAATAAAAAATGATTTCAACATCTGTGGTCTTCATAACTGGAAGGATGCATTTACCATCACCTGATGGGGAGGTGTCTGCAGGTATAGGGGCAGGAGTTGGACATAAGTTCAGGAGGTCTGTTTTTGATCCAGTTGGAGAGCAGGTGAGAAAGCAATTGGATATGCAAGTCTGGAGTTCGAAGAGCGAGATCAGCTGGTGCTGTACATTTGGGAATTATCAGCATATATATATATATAACATTTAGAGCCATGAGATTGGGTGAGATCACCAGGGCTGTGAATCTAGATAGAGATGGACAAAAGAAAGGACTGAGCTCAGTCGCTCCCAATATTTAAAGGTCAGGGAGGGAAGTGAGGAATCAGCAAAGCTGGCCGAAAGGAAGAAGGAGGAAACCACCAGTGCCATATCCTGGAAGCCAGATGAGAAAAGGTGGAGGAAGTGAACAACCTTATCAGATGCCACTGATAGATAACTGAAAATTAACCACTGGCTTTAATGGGGAGGCCGTTTGGATGGTGGTAAGAGCAGTTTTGATGAAGTAATAGAGACAGAGCCTGATTGGTGGAAGGCTTACTGGAGAGAACAAGAGAAGAATAGGAAGCAGCAAGCATAGACGTTTCTTTCAAGGAGTTTGCTGCAAAGGGGCGTAGAGACATGGGGCAGTAACTGGTGGTGATAGAGGATCAGGAGAGGGTTTAAGGTGGGAGACATCCAGCTACGTGGGTGAATATAGACACAGGAGGTTAAATTTAACCAGGGTTGTGGTTTTGTCAAGTAGGTAGGAGGGAGTAAGAGATGAGGATTGTGATAATTGACCATGGACTTTAGGTTCAGAAAACCCAGAGAGGACCAGTGATGATACATGTCATGTCATAAGAGTCAAAGTTGGTGGGTTTCAGGGAGGGAAGGAGGACAGTGGCCGAAAGGAGCAGCCAGCCCCTCCTCCGGTCTCTGTGGTACCGGCACCCTGAGAGAACACGGGACCACCACTGAGGAGGTTATAGGGAAATGGTGTCCTTAGGGGATAGCCTGTTCTCAAACTCAGCATTATGGGCATTTGGGGCTTAATAACTCTTTGTTGTGCAGGGCTGTCCAGTGCATTGTAGGGTGTTTAGTAGCATCCCTGGCCTCTACCCATTAGACGCCAGTGGCCCTTCCCCAGAATGTCTCCAGATTATTGCCAGGTGTCCCCTGGAGACAACATCAGCACGCCTCTCCCACCACCTCTTGAGAACCACTGGGTTAGAGTAAAAAGGCGCAGGAATGTTTTAAAGAAGAGGTTGAGAATATGGAGCAGTGTGCTGATCAACAGACCATAAATTCCAAAGAGGAAGGTGGGGTCGGGGAGGAGGCTGCAGGTGCTGGGTGGGTTCAGTGAGAGTTTGGACACAATATGGGCTGACCCTGCTGGGGATCAGACCGTGCGAGATGAGGGGTAACCTGGAAGGCAGAGGTGGCTTGTGGTAGCAGACAGAAGCCAGGATGCATAATCAAGAGATTGGATTTCCTTTACAACGTAGGTGACATTGCAGATTATCTGTGTAAGGAAACATAAAGAGCTATCCCTTTTAGTTAGAAAAAGTAATTACCTTGAAGAGGACAGGTATTCAAATGACCGAATATTGAAGTGGAGAAGTTTTAGTGTAGCAATTAATACAGAAACTTAAAAAAGGTGTGATATATCTTTACAAATGTGATATTTGACAAGTGGATGCTTGTTTATAAGGTGCTTTAAGTGTGAATTCGGGACTAAAAACTGAAGCATTTTTAAGATTATAATTTTGGTGCCGACATTGACTCTTTGAACAAAGACGAAGTGATACAGCAATGAAAAACAAACAAAGCTGCAGGGCCCCTGGCTGGCTCAGTTGGAAGAGCGTGAGACTCTTGATCTCGGGCTTGTGAGTTCGAGCCCTACGTTAGGTGTAGAGATTACTATAAAATAAATAAATCTTGAAAAAAAAATTTTTTTAAACCTTAACAGCTAGATTGATTCTGCAACAAAACTAAAGTCTAATATTGATGCATTTGTGGCACACTCAATGATTAATATAATTTCTTATTCTGTCTTAGGATCAGTTTATGTGTGGAGAAACAGTGCCAGCCCCTTCCACCCACAAAGAATTAGTTAAATGCTGAAGAGGACTTTAGGAATCCACATCCTGAACATTTGGGAATGAGCCAAGCTGGAAAAATCAAATGCAAAGTCACTGGCTTCCTTCATGGGGACAACCATTCCGTAGTTGGCTCTGCCATTAGTGTGTGGCTCCTTACCATTGGCTGCTGAGTTTATCTCCAGTTAAAGAAGCAAGTCCATGACGTGACATGCTTGGATTTTGTGCTTAGAACTTTGAATTGAAGTGTTCTCAATTTTCCATGTGAATTTAAAGGAAGATCATTTCAAATCAGTGCTTTCTTTCTCTCAGTATCATTATTTTTATGTCTTACACCTGATTTCTTCCTCATCTGATAACAGCATCATCTACCTCAAAGTCATTAGTATTCCTTTATAGAAAGGGGAATTATGTTTTAGCTTAATTATTAAGATTATTAAAATTAGTCCTTTCTTTGAAATTGGACACCCACTTTGCCGTTCTAAACTTAAACAAATTTGTTGCTTTGTCCCCACTGTGCTTTCAGTTTCCATACCAAGCCAGTGTGCTCAGTCTTGCATTCATTAGAACTCAGTTCCCGTTCTGCGTAGCATACCATTTCCATTATATTTCCTACACTGAGTTCTGGTCATGGTATTGCAGAGAAAATATACTGAGCTCACAATTTTTCCAGAGCTAAAAGTAAGAAAGAAAAGTCATGGGGCACCTGGGTGGCTCAGTTGTTAAGCGTCTGCCTTCAGCTCAGGTCCCGTGGTCCCAGGGTCCTGGGATTGAGCCACTCGTCGGGCTCCCTGCTCGGCGGGAAGCCTGCTTCTCCCTCTCCCACTCCCCCTGCTTGTGTTCCCTCTCTCACTGTGTCTCTGTCAAATAAATAAAACCTTAAAAAAAAAGAAAGAAAGAAAAGTCAAAAAGTGAAATGGTCAAAGAATCAGGAGTTTCCTTATCCATATTCTGCATGTTCCTTGAAAATTGGGACAAGATGAAAAGAAAAGCAGCCAAAGGAAGTGAAGTTGGAAGCAGAACAAGAGAAAAACTTGCCAGCTTAGTAAATTGAATGAATGGCTTTGCCAGATCAGAGCAGATCAGATTTGTGTATGTGGGTCTTGTGTTTAGATAAGGCTAATGAAATGGCATTCGAGAGGAGGCTCCATGTCAAGGCTTCCTGGCTGGCAGCGGCGCTCTCACGGTTACCTCAGAATCAAGTCACCAGCCCTGAAAGGGAGAGCTGCTACAACTCTTGCTGAGGAGGAACTTGAAGATAAGATGCCTGTTCTAAATAAATGTGTCCCTGGGGACACATCTAACCAGTGTTTATAAGCTGTAACCGAACCAGACGTGCACTCTTACAGAGAGATGTTGCCCTGGAGAAAAAGAAATTTATAAAGGTAGGCTATCAGTCTCACATCAGGGTCTTTCAGATATGACTGGAGTTCTGTGTAATATTCTGTGCCTTGTATACCTTACCAGACATTTCAGACCACCTCTGAGAACTGATCTGTAATCCAGGCTCTGTCTCTTACTAGCTTTGTAGTCTTTTCAAGGCCAGTGGATTCGTCACCTCTACAATTAGGAGACCAAATCAGGTGATTTTTAAACTGTCGGTATTATAATTTCAGGTTTTATAACTTGCAAGAGCTGAAATGGTAATTGAAACCTTTATAGACTCAAAACTAAATCATGAACTATTCAGAGAAAGACAATGCTTCTTTAGTAACTTGATGTTACCACACTTCTGAGTTGGAAAATAAAGTCAACTATTTAAAGGAATTCTGCTTATGTTTTAGTGTACACATTCAGAAGCAGTTTTCCTGGGAAGCACCCAACACTTTTGATTGCTGTAAATACTAATTTTTTTTTTTTTTAAGATTTTATTTATTTATTCATGAGAGACAGAGAGAGAGGCAGGGGGAGAAGCAGGCTCCCAAGGAGCAGGAAGCCTGATGCGGGACTTGATCCCAGGACCCTGAGATCATGACGTGAGCCGAAGGCAGACGCTTAACCATCTGAGCCACCCAGGCGCCCCCTGGGCATTACAATTCTTAACTTTGCAATCACACTATTAGAGCTTACATTAACTTCCGGTGTAGTTTTTTTTAAAATTTTACTCAGGGACCCCTGGGTGGCTCAGTTCGTTAAGCATCTGCCTTCGGCTCAGGTCATGATCCCAGGGTCCTGGCATCAGGCTCCCTGCTCGGGGAGGAGTCCACTTCTCCCTCTGCCCCTCCCCCTGCTTGTATACTCTCTCTCCCTCTCTCAAATAAATAAAATCTTTAAAAAAACAAAAAACAAAAAACTTCACTCAAAATAACCCCAACAGTCTCAATAATTTTGTCCTAGAAACTCTGAAATGCTACTCTAATTCAGGGATTGGCAAACTATGATCCACAGGCCAAATCTGGGTATTTTGATAAATAATGTTTTATTGGAACAGAGCTGCTCAGATTTGCTTATGTGTTACGTATGACTATTTCACACTACAAAGGCAGAATTTTGTAGTTGTAACTAAGACAACATGGCCCATGAAGCCTAAAATACTTACTGACCTTTTACAGAAAGTATACCAAACCCTGTTCTAATTCTACCTGCCTCAAAATACAACAGAAAAGAGTGTAGTCCAAGTTTGTTAAATAAACTGCTTTTTTTTCAAAACCAGCAAGGTGTCTCTTTTTATTTTTTTAATTTTTTAAAAAAGATTTTATTTATTTGTCAGAGAGAGAGAGGTGCGCGCACAAACAGGGGGAGTGGCAGGCAGATGGAGAAGCAGGCTCCCCGCTGAGCAAGAAGCCTGATGAGGGACTCGATCCCAGGACCCTGAGCCAAAGGTAGACACTTAACTGACTGAGCCATCCAGGCGTCCCAAGATTTCACTTTTTAAAAAGAAATCCTAAAAATCATACATTTACAGAATGAGCATTTTTGTATGTTGAGCAAACCAAAGAGAAAAAAAGTACTTTCAGATTTATCATCACTGGGAAAAGTGTATTTTCCTCCACATCCATAAATCTATTATGCTGAACTAATTATACACAGACATCTCAAAAAAATATTGGTCTAAAACTGAATCCACAAACTGAATCTTGATCTCAAAGCAATTTTCTTTAGTATTAGCTTGAAAAATGGGGCCTGCACAATAGTCTTTTACATTAAAGTATATCTTACTATTAATACTAAAAATTAAATTCCTGCAATAATGAGATGTCTGACCATGTTTACAGAAGTGTATAATAGTTTTCTTACTGTTAGTTTGAAAGTACTATAACACTAAGCTAAATATATCTAAATATGTGAAGAATCACTCAAAAAGCAAAATCCAATATCCAATTTATGTTTGTAAAAGAAAATGGGATTACTCACTGAGGTAAAGGGTGAGGATCCTTTATTTCGCAGCCCTTGACAGCCCTTCAGGTGGTAGGTTAGCTTTCTAGGGTCTGAATATGGTGGAAAAAAATCTGCACATGGGAAGGGTAACAAGAGCTCATCCACCTCCCTTTCTCAGATGTTAGTGCTTTCTCCTTTGATGAAATAAGAAGTTGTTCTAAAGTAGGGATAAGAACAAGGACTTTGAGACAATGCCAAAAGAAACAAATAAAAAAATTTAGAAAGAAAGGAAAAGGTAAGCTACTCATAAAATGTAGGCTGTCAAAGTTCTATCCTTAAAATATAACTCTAAACATTACACATGTGAGGGTAGGTCCCTCAGTTGCTGCTATACTCCCTTCATCAAAAATTAATCCATTTAGGGGCGCCTGGGTGGCTCAGTCGTTAAGCGTCTGCCTTCGGCTCAGGTCATGATCCCAGGGTCCTGGGATCGAGCCCCGCATCGG